TTTTTCTTAGGTGTTAGGGATTGTTCTTGAATGTTTTTATCAGGAAAAGAAAAAATTGGTTTCCTTCTAATGGTTTGGGGGTTTTTGCTTGTTTTTTCATTTGTTTAATATGTTTGTTTGAGACAGGATCTCAGTCTATAGCCCAGGCTGGCCTTGAACTTGATGCAGTTCTCATGAGCTATAGGCATGAGCTATCATGCGTTGGTTGTTCTGATACTGTTTAATTAATTGAGGTGATCCTGTTGATGTTTGTGACATTTAGTGATTTTTCATGTGCTGAAATCATCCTTGTATTTTCAATCAGGAGCCATGACAGGTTAATATGTTTCTAAATTGCCTTACTAGCATGTTGTAGAGGATCTCTGTTTCTGTGTTGGTAAAGAATTTGGTTTTAGTTTTCTCCCTGCTGGTGCTTTCATGTGGCTTTGGTGCTAGGATACTACTGGCTTCATGGGACATGTCAGGAAGTGCTGCCCCTTCCATTTCCTGAAGTTTGGGAAGAATTGACTAAAGTAAGCCCCCTCTCCCCTTGTCTGCCGCAGGAGGCCGTGGAGAAAGTAACAGAGCACATCCACTCCCTGTCTGGGAAGAAGGACGGGCTGGTGCCCATGTTCATCAACACGAACAGCGGCTTCTTCACCCACCCAGGAGTGTTCACTTTGGGTGCCAGAGCTGACAGCTACTACGAATACCTGCTAAAGCAGTGGATCCAGGGTGGCAAGAAGGAGACAGCGTGAGGCCTGACCCACTGCCTTGATGCAGGGCCCCAAGCTTCTGTCCCCATCCTTTGCTAGAAGCTAGCAGTGATGCAGGTGGTTTAGGTCCCCTATGTGAACTTGCCTCCCAAATGGCATGAGCCATTCAGCAAGACCTGCCTTATATCAGTGCCCATATGGCAGATGCTCAGGGGTCTGAGCTTTGACTTGGGCTGTGTGTGTGCAATATGTGCTTCCCAGGGAGGGCTAGGTCTCTAGAGCTCGTATATGGGTCAAGCTCAGCGAAGCTCCTGGTCCTGTAGCTCTAGGGAAGATGGTCCCTGCCATGCCCAGAGTAATCTGACTTGTGCTATTCACAGACTGCTGGAAGACTATGTTAAAGCCATTGAGGGGATAAAAACACACCTGCTACGGCATTCTCAGCCTGGAAAGCTCACCTTCGTGGGAGAACTTGCCCATGGCCGCTTCAGTGCCAAGATGGTAAGTTGTATGGACTGACAGAACCTTCAGGAAGCTACTACTTTCTTTGTGGCTTCCAAAGCCTTGGTTGGTTTTTTTTTTTTTTTTTTTTTTTTTTTTTTTTTTTTTTTT